GGAAGGAAGGAAGGAAGGAAGGAAGGAAGGAAGGAAGGAAGGAAATATTAATATCAGAGGAATTAAAACTCAAGGCAAAAATTTACATAGAAAAAAAAGTAAAAAGTACAATTCACAGCAAGTAAAAACAAAAAAACTGAGTACTTTACCCACCAAATCATAGCACATCAAAACAAGTAGAGCAAAAATGATAAATAAAAGGAAAATCAGTTGGGAACTATATGGGAAAGAAAGACTCCATTTAAAATAGTAACAAAAAACATAAAATTGCTAGGAATGAATTTTAACATGAAATGTCAAAACCCATATGAGAAACAACATAAAACATTTTGTAAGGACACCAAGGTACTTAAACAAATGGAATGGCATACTATACTATAAGACTGACATAAGATGTCAATTCTCCTTAGGTTTATTTGTAAATTTGATGCTGCAATAAAATAACAAACAAAAAATAAGCAAGTTTACTCCAAAGTTTATACAATAAATAATTAATTAATAAGCATTAATCATAATTAATAAACATTAAATGCCCAGGAAAACTCTGAAAAAGAGCAGTAGTGGAGAATATGTCAAATACTCTTTTTTCCCCATATATATATATTTTTTTATTTTTAGAGAGAGGGGAAAGGAGAAGAGATAAACCTTGATGTAACATTGATAAGCTGCCTCCTGCATGCCCCCTACTGGGGATCAAGCCTACAACCCAGGCATGTGCCCTGACCTGGAACTGAAACAGCAACTTTTCGGTGAACAGGACAATGCCCAACCAACTGAGTCACACCATCTAAGGCATGTGCCACATATTTTCATATCCAATTGTTATCATTTCTATCCTACTCTCTGGTACTCTAGCCTACTCTGGCCTAAGAGGTCAACCTCTACACTGGCCCCTTGTCCTCTGGGTCTAACTTTTGATTAGTAAGAAGTGCTAGCCTGTGATAAGAGGGTAAAGGAACAAAAGGTCAAAGTATTTCCCTAGCTCCCTTTTATTTTTTTTTAATTTTGTTTTATTGCTTAAAGTATTACAAAGAGTATTACATATGTCTCCTTTTTTTCCCCCCAGCCTCCTGTAACCCCAGTGTCTTGTGTCCATTGGTTATGCTTATATGCATGCATACCAGTACTTCGGTTGATCTCTTACCCGCACCCCCCAACCCTCCTTGGCCTTCCCGCTGTAGTTTGACAGTCTGTTCGATGCTGATCTGCCTCTGTATCTATTTTTGTTCATCAGTTTATAATGGTCTTTATTATCCATAAATGAGTGAGATCATGTGGTATTTTTCTTTCATTGACTGGCTTATTTCACTTAGCATAATGCTCTCCAGTTCCATCCATGCTGTTGCAAATGGTAAGAATTCCTTCTTTTTTACAGTAGCATAGTATTCCATTGTGTAGATGTACCACAGTTTTCTAATCCACTCATCTGTTGATGGGCACTTAGGCTGTTTCCAAATCTTAGCTATGGTAAATTGTGCTGCTATGAACATAGGGATGCATATATCCTTTCTGATTGGTGTTTCTGGTGTCTTGGGATATATTCCTAGAAGTGGGATCCCTGGGTCAAAGCAATCTATAAATTCAACACACTCCCCATTAAAATACCTACGGCATATTTCACAGACCTAGAACGAACTCTCCAAAAATTCGTCTGGAATAAAAAAAGACCCCGAATAGCCACAGCGATCCTGAGAAAGAAGAACAAAGTAGGTGGGATCTCAATACCAAATATCAAGCTGTATTACAAAGCCACTGTTCTCAAAACTGCCCGGTACTGGCACAAGAACAGACATATAGATCAATGGAATAAAATAGAGAACCCAGAAATCGACCCAAACCAATATGCTCAATTAATATTTGACCCAGTGATCCCACTCCCTAGCTCCCTTTTAGCTGAGCCACAGTTGTCATAGCCCCTGTTCCTCTAAGGATTATTCTCCTATTGGTCAATCTCTGCCCAAGGGCTAGGCTTCTCACAGAGACTTGATAACAAGCTTGTCTCCTTCTCCCTTCTGGTCTACAGATAGTAATGATTTCCTGTTGTTGATAATGTGCATCTCAATATTTGAAGAGAATTGATATCTTTATCATATTAAGTCTTCCAAACCATGAACTTCGTACAACCCTTGCACACATTAGACCTTTCATTTCTTTCAATGTTTTATAGTTCTCTGTATAAAGGTAATATACATTTTCATTATATTTTTCATATTTTTAGTCATTGTAAATTATATTATTTTTAAGTCCATTTCCTAACTTTTTGGTGACAAAAAAAGTATAATAGGATTTTCTACACTAACTTGTATCTACCAAGTGTGCTAAATCCACTTATCAAACAATGTTTCTACAATTTATTTTTAATGTTCTATGACTTAAAAAATAATTACACCATGAGTGAATAAGTCAACCAAAGTATCATTTATAAAGTTTATACTTTTCCTATGAAGATTAAAAATGTGACAAAATGTATATTTCCATGTATAAAAGATTAATGTATATACATTACCTATTACTCAAGCAAAAATCCTGCCTTCATATTTACAAATCTTGCAATATGCTAATTATATATAAACTAGAGGCCCAGTGCACAAAATTCATGCCTGGGTAGAGTCCCTAGGCCTGGCTGGCGATCAGGGATGATAAGGGCCTTCCGTCTGCCAGCTGGAGCCTTCCTTCATTCCATGCCACCCCATGGTGGTCAGTGCATGTCATAGCGAGTGATAGAACTCCCGGTCTCCCAGTCAAACTCCCAGGGGAAACACTTTGCATATTAGTCTTATATATAAAGATATATAATATGTATGTATAGTAATTACATATGAAAGATTATATATTATATTATAATTATATATGTATATAAGTGTGTTATATACATACTATATATAGTGGTAGCACCAGAGATATGATAAACTTTGTATGATTTTATTTTAATTAAGTAAAAATGTACACATACATACATGTGTATATACATGACATATGTGTATATGTGTATATGTATATTTATATGTTTATACTTTAACAATATTTTCTGATAAAGGTAATTATGAATTAAATTAATAGGTAGTTTAAAATCTTTCAAAATGCTTAAAAGCACAAGTTTTTCAAGTAATCCTACTTTATGGTTAGTACTATAAAATTAACTATTTTGATAGAGAATTAATATTTCACAAACTAAAACTATTTAGAATGTAATAAAAATAAAAAATGGGTTTATCATTATTTTTCATTGTAACAATAATTATATTATATATGGCTAGGAATTTTTAAAGAAAATAAATGAATGTATTTTTTTTATTTAAAAACTGAAACAAGGCTACTCTTGGAGCATGCTTTTGCCAATCCTATGAAACCGCTCATTCTCCCCAGACAAATATTCCCAGTTTGGTGTATATAATTTCAGATAGTTTCAATGCACAAACATATGTAACCACAGAAGACATATTTTTGTAATTTTGTGGTATTAGCAATAAACAGAAATGCTACCATTCTGAATAACTAATGACATTTCTATAATGTTAAATTAAAAACTGAATATACTTGCCTGACCAGGGTAATATCCATATCCTTCTGGATAAGTTCAGTCTGTTTATTAGTCAACTGTAATGAGAGAGCATTGTATTTACTCTGTGAAACTTCAATTTCTTTCCTTGCTTCCATTAAATTGTCTTCAAAGGCCTGAAATTAGGACACATATAAAAGTCTAATATAATATCAAATAAGAAGAAATAAAATGTCTGGCATAGTTAACTAATTAGTTTACAAAATGACAGTGAAAATAAGTAGTGTTTTAGATGTTTTTTTGTTTGTTTGTTTTTACTTTAAGAAATTTAGTAGAAGCAATTACGTTTATAGTAGTCACAGACACTTTTTTCAGAAACTGAAAAAGTATCCTGGCTTCCTTGTATGAAAGTTAATGATTTGAAACAAATAAACTTGAAATTCTATGTAGGAATTTACTTATTAAAATTAAAATAAAGAAATTATCATACAATAAAAAATTTAATTACATGAACAAAAAATGAACTCATTTACTTAAATATTAACTAAGAAAAATGGCAGATATTTCATTATTTACTCTATGCTAACTGCACACACATAAATGCACTCAGAGAAGAAAAGACAGTACTGCAAACAAGGATATCAAAATAATTTATAATGTTTGAGACTGAGATCATGCTGAGTTCTCTTGATTGCAGTGAAATTTCACCTATAGTTCTTCGAATTTGGCCTTTTCATGCTAATAGTGCTCTAAATCTTCTTCCATTTTGAAACTATTTGAAACCTAATGATATCTTTTCAAAGATAATTTTCTCAAAAATATATTATAAATTTAATTTTAATTATTTTCACAAAGTATTAAATGAATTTTATATCTAATAATACAGTATGCCCACACAAACAACATACAATCATTATTTCTAAAGTGAACGCCAGGCTTTAGAAATCTACCCTAGCCAAGCTCCCAATGCTCATAGATTCACCCTATAGTAGCTAGAATAAATTTTTTTAATCCTCATCTGAGAACACATTTATTGATTTTTTTTTTAGAGAGAGGGGGAGGGAGGGGCAGATAGGAAAAAAGAAAGAGGAAGGAGGGGAGAGAGGGAGAGAGGGAGGGAGAGAGAGAGAGAGAGAGAGCGAGAGATATCAGTTGCCTCCTGTACGCACCCCAACCAGGATGGAACCCACAACGTAGGTATGTGCCCTGAATGAAATTAAACCCAAATCCTCTTTAGTTTACTGGATGATGCTTCAGCCAACTGAGCAATGCAGCCAGAGCTACAGTAATCAAAAACAAAAACAAACAACAACAAAAAAAACACTGGCAGAGGTCAATGGGGAAAAAGGAAGACATATGTAATACTTTCAACAATAAAGTTGTGGTTTTTTTTAAAAAAAAGAATCTACCCCAAAGCTCAGAATACACATTTTTCTCAAGTGCACACAGGACATTTTCAAAGACAGACCACATATTAGGACACAGGCAAAGTCTCTTCAAATTCAAGAAGATAGAAATCATATCAAGCATCTTCTCAGATCATAATGGCATAAAATTAGAAATCAACTACAATAAAAACAATGAAAAAAAATCAAACACTTGGAGGCTAAATAGCATGCTATTAAACAATGATTGGGTTACCAAAGAGATCAAAGAAGAAATTAAAAGCATCATAGAAAAAAATGATAATGAAAACACACCAATCTAAAATCTATAGGACACAGTGAAAGCAGTCCTGAGAGGAAAGTTCATAGTTCTACAGGCCTACCTCAAAAAACAAGAAAAAATGATAATAAATTATCTAACTGTACAACTTAAAGAACCAGAAAGAGAACAATAAGAAAAGCTCAGGGTGAGCAGAAGGAAGGAAATAATAAAGACCAGAAAGGAAATAAACAACATGGAGATCAAAAAAAAATACAAAAGATCAATGAAACTTAGAGCTGGTTCTTTGAAAGGATAAACAAGATTGATGAACCTCTAGCCAGGCTCACCATGAAACAAAGAGAGAGGACCCAAATAAACAAAATCAGAAATGAAAGAGGTGAAATAACCGACCCAACAGAAAGACAAAGGATTATAAAAAATAATAAAAAATACCACGAACAACTCTGCTCCAGCAAACTGGACAAGCTAGACGAAATGGAAATATTCCTAAAAAAATAAAAGCTTCCAAAACTCAATCAAGAAGAATTAAAAAAAACAGAATAAGCTTATAACTACTGATGAAATTGAAACAATTATCAAAAAAACTTTGAGCAAACAAAAGCCCTGGTCCGGATGACTTTACAGGTGAGCTCTACCAAGCATTCAAAGAACTAAAACCTATGCTCCTCAGACTACTCCAAAAAATTCAAGAGGAAGGCACACTTCCAAGCTCTTTCAATGAAGCCAGCATCACCCTAATACCAAAACCAGATAAAGACACCACAAAGAAAGAGACCTACAGGCCAATATCCTTGATGAACATAGATGCTAAAATCCTCAATAAAATTCTAGCAAATCAGATCCTGCATTACATTAGAAAGATCATACACCATGACCAAGTGGGATTTATTCCGGGATGCAAGGATGGTACAATATCCACAAATCAATAAACATGATGCATCACATAAACAAATTGAGAGACAAAAATCACATAGTCATATCAATTGATGCACAAAAAACATTTGACAAAATCCAACATCCTTTCCTGATAACTCTCAGCAAAGTGGGAATAGAGGGATCATACCTCAACATATTAAAAGCCATATATGACAAACCTACAGCCAACATCATACCTAATGGGCTAAAAATAAAACCATCCTAAGAACAGGAACAAGACAGGGATGCCCACTCTCACTAATCCAGTTCAACACAGTACTGGAAGTGCTAGCCAAAGCTATCAGACAAGAAGAAGAAATAAAAGGCATTAAAATTGGAAAAGAAGTAAAACTGTCATTATTCACAGATGATATGATATTGTATGACACTGTACATAGAAAACCCTAAAGACTCAATCAAACTACTAGACTTAATAAATGAGTTTGGCAATGTAGCAGGATACAAAATTAACACCCAGAAATCTATGGCTCTTTTATACACCAATAATTAACTCCCAGAATGAGAAACTAAAAAAACATTCCATTTACCATTGCAACAAAAAAAATAAGATACAGAGGAATAAATTTAACCAAGGAGGTAAAAGACCTGTACTCAAAAAACTACAGGATGCTGAAAAAAGAGATAGAGGAAGACATAAACAAACGGGAGAACATTCCGTGTTCATGGATTGGAAGAATCAACATCATTAAAATGTCCATACTACCCAAAGCAATCTATGGATTCAATGCAATCCCCA